GAGAAGGCAGCAGGCTTGCTTGCTCCTTTGATAATGTCAGCAAATTAGCTGCAGCGTGATTGAGAGGCAACGTGGCACCATTATCTGGAATCCATTGAACGGTGATTACATTTGCAGCGGAGTTATACGTCGGTATGACATGAGTGCAGTTACAGTTTTGCAGTTGGCTTGTGCCATTGCTGGAATCTAAGTGGTAGCCTCTGATGGGGAGAAGGGGCCATCAGAGAACCAAGGAAATTGATTATGCCAGCTACCTGTGTGGGCAATTTAGTCCAATCTAGTTTGTTAAGAGGGGAATAGTAATAGTTTTCTTCTTGTTTATTCCTGCAAAAATAGGCCAAATACTTTGACCACTTGTCGTGGCGTGTTCGTTTCATGCAGGACTCTGGAGAAGAAGCAACCTGGGGTCAGCCTGAGGGTTAACCTGATAGGCAGTCTACGTCTCAGAGGCTGCAGGAGAGGCGTTGCCTCAGAGAATTTACCTCTCAGGATGATAGGGCGAATCTCCTTTTCCCACATCCTTCTTGTAAATAATAAGCTCTGAATGTTAAGGTGGCCTTTTGCCAAAAGACGGGCATCAAATATTTATACAGTACCAGGGCAAATAGGTTTTTGTTGTGGACAGTAGGGAAGCATCTTTACCTTAATAAAAAATGCAGTGGTAATGGAATGTTTTCCACAGATGGAGGGTGATTTAACCTTTTTACATTGGAAGCCTTCACTCTGACATAGTCCTATTTATACCCACCTTGGTGCGCATTACAGTGAGACTGAGCCATGAAGGTAATGAGGAGACAGGGAATGGACCAGGCCGTCAAAACAAGGGGCTCTTTAAAAGCCCAGCTGTCTGCTCTCTGTGGTTCATTGACTTTCTTGCTGTTACAGATGACCAAATTCTGACAGCCATTCCAAACTTCCTTTGTTGTTAAGTAGGTGAATCAGCGCTCTGGAGTCAGAATAGCAGAGCAACAACGGAGAGGCTGGAAGGAAGACACTGGACGAGGTTGATGGCAAATAAGGACCTGGGTTTGCTCCTACTTCATGCCCCCAAGCCTACCTGTGCCTCTCCCCACTGACCACAAGCCCTCCTTCTCAGCCTGTAACTCAGGAGGAAGGAGAAGAAGCCAGGTATGGGCTGGGAAGGAGAGTCTTGATGGGCTTCAAGTGGTCACAAGTATCTCTTTCCTCCTCTGGATGTCAACTCTGTTTTACGGTTCTGTTGGCAGGCTAAATGCCATTGTAATCAAGAACGCTCTTGCCTCATAGAAAGGGGGGCTAAATTTTCAGTGTAGATGCATTTCTAGAACCTTCTTGTGATATTTTGACCCCCAAACGCACTCTTAACTGGGTGAGGACAGTGGCTTACAAGGACACTTAATTGTCCCATGTTTGCCCAGCTCTGTCAACAATTTCTACTTTACCTTGAGTTGGGCACTCTAGTACTTACAGTATGTGGTAGGTGCATTTAAGTGGCTTGAAGGTTTTCCACTGAGGAAAATGTTGGAAGCCCACTTGTAGGAAATGTACACACCATGACAAGTGGATAGTGTATTTGGTCTGTTTTAGAAGGATTAAAAAAAAAAAATGTTACTGCTCCCCTTTTAACAAACTAGATTGGACTGTAGGAAGTGGCTTTGGAAATTGGGTAGTTTTTTGTAGAAACCTTGAGGAAATTTGTACTGTGTTGATATAATTCTGAAGGATTATTGAGTGTCTTCTGATCCCAGCCATCCCCAGGTTTATCCAAAGGGGCTCCTTTGGGCATCCCTACTGTGGCTGGAGCTCCAGCTGGGCCTGTGTTACCTAGAACTTTACAAGGGAGCTGAATGATGGTCCATGCTTGTCCGGGACCCCAAAACACTTGTAATGGGATTCAGATAAGGAGAAGTTCTCTTTCTCTTTGGTCACCTATGTAAAATGTCTTAGGAGGGCATTGAGCAAACACTGGGAGAAAACGTTTTAGCAAAGCAAATAAGGAAGGTAAGCTTAGCACTTGCTGAGACTGTTCAGTAACAGGGATTTAGAACAGGAAATAAGAAACTGGAGCATGGTATTGGTTTACCTACAGGGACCCTACTGAAAATGCAGCATTATCTTATCAGGTTGGGATAATATCAGGATAAGTCTGATGTGCTCCAGATATTACCCTCTCTGCCATAGTCAGGCCTCTCTATGATTCTGGAATAACTAGAAATATCCTCAAGATAAGCGAAGTGCACTGGCCTCGTGTTTCTTAAGTCTAGGTCACGTGTTGTTATCAGTCAGTTATTGCACACTAATGCCGTGTAATAAGCCACTCCAGAACTCATTGGCTTAGAACAGTGGAATCATCTATTCTCATAGGTTTGGGTGGGTTGGCTGGGGCAGCTCTGCAGAGGCAGCTCTGCTGATCTCCTCTGGGCTCACTCATGTGTCTGTGGGTCAGCTGGTCTAAGCTGGGCACCATTGGGGTAGCTCTGCTCCACATGTCTTTCATCTGCCTGGAACCAGCTGGCTAGCTGGGGCATATCCTTCTCAAATTGGTGGCAGAGTCATAAGAGGTGAAGCTCAGCCATCATAGTGCATTTCAAGCCTCTGCCTGCGCATCCCATTAGCCAAAGCAAGTCTCATGGACAAGCCCTGAGTTGGCCAGTCTCCCCACCAGTCATCTTATTCTTGACTTTCTTCCGTCATGGTTCTGCTGCTCATCTGGTCCTTGCCTTCGTCTCATTCACTCTGCATTTCTATGCAGGCTGTCCCCTCTGCCTGGAACTTTCAAAACCTACAGATCCGTGTGGCTTGTTTGCTTACCTAACCTTGTAGGAAAGGATAAAAAAGAAAATTCAGATTATACTTATAACTGTTGCTAGCACTTTATGTATTTCCTTAGGGTATGTTTGTTTAACCCTTATTAACATAAATATTTACATACACCTCATACTGTAGTTTTGTGTTCTGGTTTTTTCTCCAGAATATTGTATCTAAAACACTTTCCTGTATCATTAAATTCCCATAATTTTTTAGGGAGTACATAATATTTAATTGTATGGAGATCTCCTAATTTATTTAACGGTTTTTCTATTGTTGAATATTTGAATTGTTGAACTTTCAGATCATTGATACTTTTTAAGTAATTTTGTAAGTAATGCTTGTAGATAAATATTTGATGGCACGGGTGGTTACTACCTCAGGATAGACTAAAATGAGGTAGATTTCTGGGTTAGAGAGGATGGACTTTTGTGTTTCAGGCCCTTAAAAAAAAACAACCTGTTGCCGTCAAGTCGATTCCAACTCATAATGACTCTATAGGACAGAGTAGAACTGCCGCATAGGGTTTCCAAGGAGCAGCTGCTAGATTCAAACTGCCAACCTTTTGGTTAGCAGCCATAGCTCTTAACCACTGCACCCCCAGGGTTCTTCAGGTCCTTAAGACATTGTCAAATTGTTTTCTAGACAGATTATGCAGTTTCAATTCCCTTATACATTTTAAACTGTCCCAGATCACAGTACTCCTACCAGCAGTGAGCAGTGTCTTTTCAAAATTTGTCAATTTGATAAGCAAAGGAAAAAGTAAGCGTTTTTTTATGTTTACTGGCCATCTTGAAGGTGTGTGTGCGTGTGTGTGCATGCGTGTGTGCGTGTGTGTATGTAAGAGAGAGAGAGAATATTAATTGCCAATTCATGTCCTTTGCCCATTTCTAATGGTGTTTTAGTATTTTTAGCTATTGATTTGTAAAAGCTTTTTATATAGAGAGAATATTAAGCTTAGCCCTTTATTTATTTTTGTTGTTACAAGTAATTCTCTCATTTTATTAATTGCCTTTTAATTTTGTTTATGGAGTCTGTTGGAAGACAGAAGCCAAAGGTTGTTATATTCACATCCATCATTCTTTTCCTTTGTGATGTCTAGAAAATATGGGCAATCCCAGGACCTCCAGTGTGATTCACAGGACTTTCTAACTTTGTCTCTCTTCCCTCCCTGCAAAAACAGGTTACATTATTATGTGAATTATCCTTTTTAAAACAAAAATAGTATATTATTTAGATGTGCTTTGTATGATTGAGCAGTGACTTGTAGAATAGAAGTTAGGGACAAGGAGGGATTATCTGCCCACAGCCCCATTTCACAGATGAGAGATCAAGCTATTGAAAAGGGTCACGTCCCTTTTCAGGATAGAACACGGACCTAAATCACCTGCCTCTAAGTCCAGTCCTCTTTCTCACAGTCTCTTATCTAAATGAATCTAGGGCATTAAGCAGTTCATAACAAAAGGAGGGCAAAACATGCCCCCTTTAATGTGTCTTCTGCAGGGGCAGGGACCCTGTTCTCTTTTTCTTTGCACCTTCATTACCTAGGACAGTGCCTGAATCATGCTGTGTGTTTAATATACATTTGTTGCATTGTACAGAACTTGAAACTGCTATTTTGACTAGAGGAATACCCAGTGAAGCATTTTCAATGGTGAATCATTTGCAAAAATTTCCCCTCCCCAAATCCCACTTCTTGACAAGAGCTGCCTGAAATGTTGTCTGTACAGCAGCCCACATCCTATGAACTCCCAAGAATCAACGCGTCTAGAATGCATCTGACAAGCTCAGATCTGGTGTTATATCTATCCCCCTCAAAACAAACAAACAAAGAAACCTCTCACCTATATATAGTTTTCTTCTAAAAACTGTTTCTAAATGCCTCGCTTTACCCTGAATAAGTTCTCCCCAGAGCATCCTGACGTTGGAACATGAAAAGGAAGGTAAACGTGTGAAATCAAATGGTGATTGCTAACAATGAAATTTGGGCTCATAAAATCAAGGATATTATTCAAAACTGCGAGGTAAATTAGTCTCATTCATTCTGATGGGGCTAGACTCTATGGCTGTGTGCCTTCTTTAATTAACATGCTGAAAAGATGTTCTGATTGGGATTATTAATGAATGCAGTGAAAATTTTTGCTGCTTGCAAGGCTTCTGCCACAGACGGTTTATAGACCACCCCCCAGCTCGCCTTTTTTTTTTCTCCACAGATTCCTTACATGGCTTGACAGATGGAGTATTCATCTTTGAAGCTGTTTCCACAGAAGATAGCAAAACCATACAGGGCTATGATGCTATTGTTGTTGAACAATGGACGGTCCTGGAAGTAAGTACGGAGTTGGCAGCAGCCCTGCTTTTGTTTGGGCAGTGATTGTTTTATTGGTTTTCTAAACCTGACGACAGGACTGTTGCTCAACTGTGGCTTTCTTGTGACAGGGAGTGTGACCTGGGTAAACCGTATAACCCCCTTTAGTCCTCTCATGCCCCTTCTTCCTCAGCCCTCAGGTGAAAGCTGGGTGCCATTTTTCCCTTTCCATGGTAAAAATGTGTTGTGTGCATGCCATACCATTGGGTGGAAAGCGATTCTGCTTGTATTCCTTTGCCAGTAACGGAAAACTCTACGTGATATAAATGAGGCAAACGTAATTTTTGGCCTCTGTAATAGTAAGAACAGCATCGTTATTGGCACTAAACCCTGTGGCTCCTTCTGCCAGGCATGCTTAATTTTCACAATAAGCCTATGAGGTAAGTACTGTTATTGCCTCTATTTGATAGACGAGGAAACTGAGGCACAGAGAGGTTAGGTCCTGTCCCAAGATTACACATTAAGTACTGAAGGATGTATTTGAGAAATGTTGACCCATGAGGCCACCAGATTGCGATCGGCAGAGGAATTCCTCAAACCACATTCCACTGGAACATTGGGGAGAGTTGATTTATGTATTTCTAAGAGTCACTGGTGTGTACTTGAAAGGCATTTCTCTAACTGTGGACTTCAGTACACACAGCATCTGGGGGTAAAGGAGAAGCTGTCTGGACGTGGAGAACTGATTTCTGAATGTTCTCGCATGGGCCCTCGGAGAACGAAGGGTTGGCGTCACTCTGAGGGGGCCTCTGCCAACTGCATTCTAGGTGCCAAAGGAAGACAGATGTGGACGCAACCCTTCATGAAGAGGGTGGGATGGTGGGGCCCACCAGACAGCGAGTGTTTGCCACACCCTTGTGCTCTTCAGAACCACAGCCCAAGGCGTGCTAGGCACAGGAGGGTTATTGGCACCTGAGGGCAGTGTTACCCAGCTTTCAAGGTGCAGCAGTTCCCAGCAGCAAGAAGTGAGGAGGGCTAGTGGGAGGCTGCCTGCATCTGAGCAGTCATGGGAAGTAACTGCTTGCAAGTGTGACAGCAACGGAGTCCTCAGAAAACTGTAATCATCACCAACAGGAATTTGAAAAGCACAGCATCCAGGACAGTTCATGTAGGGGCCAGGAACATATGTAGTAAGGAAATAAGGAATCAGATGACTTGGGTTGGACATCCGCTCCACCAGTTACTCCTGGGTGACCTTGGTACAAATGGGCCCCTCCAGCCTCCAGGCCCCTAACTGGAAATGGGGGTGCAAAGGAGTGAGGCTCAGTCTGAAATGCAGAGTCTAGCATGGGTAGGCCATGTCACCCTCGGGACCCCAACTTCCCTCAAATGTAAGCAGGGCTCCACGCCATGCATCCAGCCCGTCACACAAGCTGGAGTGGGACCCGGGGAGGGGTAGGAGGACTAACGGAATCAGGTCCAGAGTCTTTAGGACCTGGTTAACAAAGAGCCATGCGCTTGTCGCTGAGCAGCCCACAGGCTTCAGCGTTCGGTTTGCTCTGGAACAATTGGCAGTAAGAGCAAGTGATGCACGGCTGCACCCAAAACACGTGTATGTGTGGAAGAGATTGGCAGGCCACGGAGACTGTGTGAAAACTCTTGCTGTCTGCACATTAAATGGTTGTTAAGGGAGGGTGTGGAGGTTTCCTCAAGAAAGATGACTTGATGGCAATGATCCAAAATCTTCTAAAACAGTGGTTCTCAAAGTGTAGTCCCCAGAACTTGTTAGAAATGCAGACTCTCAGGCCTTACCCCAGACATACCTAATCAGAAACGCTCACGGGTGGGACCCAGGAATGTGTGTTTTAACAGGCCCTCCAGGCAATTCTGATGCACACTGAATTTTGAGAACCAGCATCTGAAAGGACAGTACAGGTGCCCTCTCAACAGATGTCTGTGATCGTGTGTTGTTTGATAAAAAAAAGACAAAAAATCCAAACCTGTTGCCATACAGTCGATTCAGACTCATGGTGACCCCATGTGTTACAGAGTAGAACTGCTCCATAGGATTTTCTTGGCAGTAATCTTTATGGAAAGGAGTCCTGGTGGTGCAATGGTTAAGTGCTCGGCTGTTAACCGAAAGGTTGGCGGTTCGAACGCACCAGCCACTCCATGGGAGAAAGGTATGGCAGTCTGCTTCCGTAAAGATTGTAGCCTTGGAAACCCTTTGGGGGCCGTTCAGCTCTTTCCTACAGGGTTGCTATGACAGAATGGACTCAACGGCATTGGGTTTGGGTTTGAGGAGCCTTTATGGAAGCAGATTGTTGGGTCTTTCTTCATGGTACCTCTCGGTGGGTTCAAGCCACCAACCTTTAGGTTAGTAGTCAAGGGCAAGCCATTTATACCACCCAGGGACCTATTTAATGAAAAGGGTGAGGGGGGAAGTATCTTGATGATTTGTCTGTCTTCAGCCTTTTAAATAAACTGCGACCTTGACAGGTAACTGGAATGAATGCATGCTATATAAATGTTTCTGGGAGGGAGACGAGGTTAAAAACTAAAACGAGGACGCAGCTGTCTTTTTAATACAAAGAGAGGTTGATTTTATGGTTAAGATGTTAGGAAAGATTAACATTTATTCAGAAACTTTTCCTGGGTATGCAGATTAGTTTCCATTAGAATTTGTCGGTTTCCTCCCTCCCTCCCTCTCTCTCTTTCATTCTTTCTTTCCAAATGTTTCTTCCTCTTGACCTCTTATTTTTATACTATTTGGTGTTAGTTTTGGGTTTCCTCCCACCCTCAAGAATGCTGCTTTGGCTTCTCCCCAGGAACTCTTATCAGTAAAATTGGTTTGAGAGACCTATGATCGGCCCAGTGGTGTGCTGGGGCCGCTTGACCTGCTCACTAGGGCCAATTCTGGACACCTCTTCTGAACTCCATGTTCAGTGATGTTGGGTTGGTAATTTGAAATTGGCCATGGTCGGATATTTACACCACGGAAACTGGCATACACTAGACATCCGTGTTTTTTCCCCTGGAGATCTGGTTGTAAGTATCTACCAGCACACCACTGGATGGGCCTTTCTTTCATCACGCGTCAACATTATGATATGCAGGTGTGGCTAGTATCCAATTAGGCGAAAACAGATTCTCTTAGTTTTCATGAGAGCTCGTTTGATGGTTTTGATGTTGTTGGTCACCAGTATTCCCTGCACAAGTCTGCAGACTTGCTCTTCCCTCTGGTATCTCTGGAGCATCCACAAATTTCCCACAGTGGAAACAGGCACGTGACCTCAGAGCAGTGTCAGCCTCTGACATTGCCGTCTCTCAAGGGGAAGAGGAGGGAGAATTGTACCCCTTGGCTTATGGGCTTTCTCATCCTCTTTGCAGCTGATGTAGGCAGCCTTCAAGTCAGCTCGTAAGTCACCTCCTCCAGGAAGCCTTTCTGCCTCCCTCATGGTTAAAGACCCTTTCTGCGGGCTCCTATCATCCTCTGGGCCAGGGATAGATTATCCAATGAGCAAGATAAGCACAGGCTTACTCGTGCTTACATATTAATCTGTAGTGAACAATTTCACATGGGTTTCATGTGAAACTTGTACTTAATTTCACATGAAACCCATTTGAGATTGTTCACTACAAATTAGTAAGTAAGCACAAGTAAGCCCGTGCTTACCTTGCTTACCAAGTCATCTGCCCTGTTAGGGATTGTAAATTTGAAAAGAGCCTTTGATTCTGTAGGGAGGTGCTGTGGGGTTGGGAGAGGAACAGATGCCAGCTAGACATAGAAGCAGAATCTTTGATGCAGTGAAAAACGTGAACTTGTTCACTACAGATGATCTGGCTTATTGGATAATCCACCCCTGCTCTGCGCCTTAACCTCTCAGGACTCCTGTTATATTCTGTTGCTGTTATTTATTTGTCTGCTTTCCTGCCTCTACTGTGAGTTTCTTGGTCTGGGGATATTCATCTTTGTTCTCCAAGGAACCCCAATAAATGCTCCCTGAATTGGATCAAAGACCTTTTGGTCCAGCCCAAGGATAGGGCAAGTATTTTTCAAAATTGAGCCTGTATCAGAATCCCCTGGAGACCTTTTCAAACTACAGATATCCTGGCTCTATCCCCAGAGTTCCTTAATTCATTCTGTCTGGGATAGGGCACAGGAATTTGCATTTCTAACACCTTTTCAGGTGATGCTGCTGCTGATCCTGGGGCTATACTTTGAGAGCCCCTTCCCTGGGGTAACCAAGTATAGACAACTGTGTCATCAGCGTGACCTGACAGTGCCCAACTTGGGGCAGGGTTGCCCACAGCTCAGCTCTTTGACCAATCTCCCTGTGAGACCCCCATTCCGACCATAGACAGCCCCTCTTCCACATGCCTCTTTCCAGGGCATGTGGGTGTTTGTCCGACTCCCTCACCTTCTACCCTCGAGACCTGCTACTTCCTGCTCTCCCCACCCTTTTGGCCTCTACAAAGGTCTTTCCTGTTTAAGCCCTGGGCAGATCCCTTTTGGCTTCTGGTTGACCCTGTTTCTCTGGAAAACACTGTCCTCCCAGCCAATGACCTCTTGGGCTATGGCCACAACATTTTTTTCTCCTTTCTCACGGTTGAAACTGATCTGTCCCTTTCCTCCCTCTTTACTACTTTTCTGGTCCAGCCATCTCTTCCTGGCCTCTCTCTCTATACACCCCACACATTCCTATACCCACATTTTCACCAGAAAACCTACCTACCTTGCTCTTCACAGCCCTGTAAGCTAGTGCAGTGTGTTGGAAAGGGAATGATGGTTCTGGAGTCTGGCCTGGGTGTGTATCCTGCCTTTGCAGTTCCCAGCTGAGTATTTGAATATATGAAAAGGATACCACCACTCTTCATTCCTCCATTTTTCAGTTGTATACATGGAGATACTGGCAACAACCTCTCAGAGTTGATGAGAATTAAAAAAGATAATATGTTAAAACATTGTGAATGAAGTCCTGGCACATAGTAAGCACCCAATAAATACCACTAATTTTTAT